ATTGAATTTGTATCGAAATCAAAATGAAGTGGACTATTTTGGATGGTCAGATATAGATTAAAAACATGTAGTTGTAGACCCTGAATCGTTTATCACAATTATTTATACTCTTTAGCTGGTGAGTTTCTAGGTCGAATACAGGGATTTTAAGTCACAAAATTTTATCAAAAATTGACTAATGAAAAACAGAGAAAAAAGCAGAGAGAAAAGCATAAGAGGGGGGGGGGGGGGGCTCGCTTATGAGCGAGCCAAAATAACTACAACGAGCTTAAAACAAAAATATAAGAAAACCAGTAAAAGTGAGTGGCGGAGTGAGCAAAGCGAAACTGATGAGTGATGAAGGCAGTGATAGTAGTTTGTGAGCGGAGGTGAGCGAGGGAGATGAGCATGATATATATATATATATATTGAGCGATAGAAGGCGACTAAGAGATGTTGTGTCTGATCTGTGCGTTCCTTAATGACTAGGTTGCCATGGGTGAAATGAGCGAATGATGATGGTGCATAAACGGAGATTATATGTATAGTACGAAGGCGGTATGAGGGATGAATGTAATCATATAAACAAAATTATACATAACTTAAACTGATGATACTTGACCTTAAGGGATTTACAACAAGACTTCAATGACGCTCAGAATAAAAACATTATAAGCAAAAAATGCTACTGTCACTAGACATTTCTGTGACCCAATAGTCAAACGCCTATACCCCTTTAATTATTATAATTTCTGTCTTATTAGTGGCTTTACCCTTATGTTACCTTTTTTTTTTAATCAAAATCGAATTTAGATAAGTAAATAAGCAGGTCGACAAGACTCCCACGTGCTTAACTACGTTGAACCACCCAGAATCTGTTAATGAATACGGCGCAAAACTGGGCTTATATAGTCGATTCTTCTCTGTTCTTTCTCAGCGATTCAAGATTCTCTATGACTCAGATTTATACAAATATGAGAATGAGGTATAAGTGATAATGAAAAAAGGTTAATATTCTAATACTTACTAAGAAAATTAGTAAAACTCTACAAAAAGGACATTACAAAAGCTGTAATTCAAAGATGTGAACTAAATCTAAAAAGCAGTAAGATACCGGCCAGATGAGAAGAAAATCTCAACTCCTCTGGCCATTTCTGTTGAGAACTCCCTTACAGGATTTGAGTTCTCGAGAGGCAGGAATGAAGCAAAAGTAGAGTGCAAAATTACAAGTGTATACTCCTGTTGAAGTGTATGTTACAAGAGATATTTGACCCTATTTATAGTTGGACGAGACAACAGTTGTGAGCAGTTGGAAAGTTGTTTCAATCGCTGGGCAGTTAGACAGTTGGCGGTGGTTATTCTGTTGAAGCAGTTGTACTGGTCATAACTCCTACGGCGCTCGCTTCGCTTGCTTTGGCATGTAGGGGCACAGATCTTCGTCGCTTGCCTAGATGGCTGGAGGGCATTAGCGCAGCTAAGTGGAGCTATTCTTACTGGCCGGTAATAGAATGACTTTACCGCTGCGAGTTAGACACTTAGGCATTTTCTTGGGGTAATTCATTCTCGCTTTGCTGCGGTGGATGTCCGGTTGTTGGCGCTGGCTCGAGCGAGGAAGACGTCGCTTATTGAGCGGTCAGAGCAGTCGCTTAACTTTATGGACTTTTCTTTTCTGGACCAGAATCATTGCTTAAAAAGACAAAAAAGTTAATAATCTCAACAAACCAATTCTGGATTATGCCAAACAGAATAAATCAATAAATTAGTATGCCATAAATCAAATATTGTGATAATTTTTACACCGAAATTCAAGTAATACATAATTTTGTTAAGCAAAAAATATGCTAATATTTGGAGTTATCAGCTACCCTAACATGTGTCGATTGCTTCAACTACAAAGGTTGTTAAGATTTTTTTTTTTTAAAAAAAATATAACTTGGGGTATGTTTGTTTTGTAAAATTATTTGAAATGATATATTTTTATGTGAGGTATATAAAGTTGTATAGGTAATATAAAAATAATAAATATATGTAATATATTATTTTTTTTGGAAAAATATCTGTGTAGTTTTTACAAAAAGAACACACCATTTGATTTCTTAACTTTTGAAATTCTATGAAAGTAATACTCCCTCCATCCCACCATAATTGACACAATTTCTATTTTTTTATATATTTTTATTTTGAGTAAAATTTAATAAATCAAAATATAGTTAACAAATATAAATAAACTTGATTAGCTGCGTAAAGACCCACTCAAAATTTCTTTATTTATATCTTCCTCCTAAAAAAAGATTTTTTTTATTTATTTTTTATTTTTTTTATCTACATTTAAAACTCTACTTATTTTATAAAATTATTTTATATTATTTATAAATAAATAAAAATACTTTTTATTATAGAAAATTTTATTCTAAAAAAATGATATACATATTGCTTATATTTTTTATTGCGATATAAGTTTTAAATATTTAAGTACATATTTTAATTTTTAAAATCATATATATTAAATTTATTTTAAAACTATCAATATTATTAATTATATAAAATTTAATAAAATAATATATCATAACTCAATATTATTAATTAATTAAATATTATTTTTTTTAAACAATGCAGATCCTATGCTGAATGTTATAAATTCAGTATGTTGAAAATTAATCTCAACCTTTAATTTTAAGATTATGTCTAAATTGACTTAATTACCCTTTATTAAGTAATGGTTGAGATTGAGTATACATATGCTGAATTAAAAATACACTTCAGAGTGTGATCCAAAGGCTTTTTTAAATACCGTGTCTCTAATGAAATGTGTCAATTATGTTGGAACGGAGAAAATATATATTTGAATATAAAGTTAATTACAACAACTATTAATTATGTATTTAGCTATATTTGTTTATATTAAAATTAAAAGTGTTTTGGAGCATTTGTTATAGTCATCACCTTTACACTATTATTTCTTTTTATCTTTCTCATCCAAATCATATTTATCTCAACATTCAAATTACTTTATTTATCACATGTTGTAATAAATCACCTCTAACACGTTACCTTTACTATTTTATAAATCCACAATAATTTATTTATTTCTATATATTTTTATTATGTAATAATATATAAAAATTATTTATTTATTTATTTATACATATTTCTATATATTTTTATTATCGAATAATATTTTTTATATAATATTATATTTTAATTTTTAAATATTAATCTATATAAATTTTAATTATTGAAATTATTCGAAATAAATCAATATATATATTAATAAAAAATATTATAAAAAATATCGTAATATAATATAAACATATAAAATAAATATAGTAACAATATAACTTACAAATTATTATTTTTATTGTCAAATCGTGTCCAACAATTTAATTTAAACAGTGATAAAAAAGATCAACATTTTCACTAGTTATTTTGATTAATTGAATATGAAAAAGGTAGAGAATTAATTAATGAAATTTAAATATATTTATAAATAATTTTTGTTAAATTTAAATTTTAAAATTTTGAAATTTCAAAAATTTTTGGATAGTTTTATTTTATTTTATTTTTTTTGTTGAAGGTAATGGATAAGGTAATAAATTTTTATAACTGTATTTCTTATTAAAAGATGTTCTTATCTCTTGTATTCAAACTCTCAATTTGAATTTGGATTATAAAAATATGAGTTTAAGTATTTTTTAATTAAAAGACTAGAATTTAAAAGATATTATGAATGTAGACATATCTCAATGTATTTAGTTATATTTGTTTATATTAAAATTAAAAGTATTTTATCTCTTGTATTTAAATTTTTAATTTGAATTTGGATTACAAAATGAGTTTAAGTATTTTATAATTAAAAAAATCTAAAATTTAAAAGATATTATGAATATAGACATATCTTAATGTATTTAGTTATATTTGTTTATATTAAGATTAACCGTGTTTTATCTCTAGTATTCAAATTCTCAATTTGAATTTGGATTAAAAAAATACGAGTTTAAGTATTTTTTAATTAAAAAATATTATGAATGTAGACATATTAAAAAAAATGATATTATAAATGTAAACATATTTTTTTTAAAAAAAAAGAATAACACAAATATCCATTCATAATTTCATTAATAATTTAGTTTAAAAAACTTTATAAATTTTCAAATTTGAATGAATAAATATATATATCTACAAATAATTACATTTCAAAATAATTTTTTTAAAAAATGTCACCGAAAGTATTTTAGTAATTTTGAAAAAGTTATTAAAAAAAAAGTAAAAATACTATAAACCATTTTTTTTTTAAATTTCAAATCAAAATTACTGTTATCGTTCTATTTTAGATTATTGATTATATACCAACATACATATAAATAATCAAATAAAGAAAACAAGATTGATTAGACTAAATATTTCAATCATAATACAATACAAATAATTAATTAAAACATCTATATATATAATTTCAAATTTTAGTTAAAGTGGGTATCAAGTCGAGTTAACTTACAAGGATAAATTTTAGATAAATGTATACAAGTAAAAATATGCTTTAATATATTTTCATTAAAAAAAAAATGCGTTGAAATTATTTTAAAATTTACATTAATGTAATACAAATAAAACTATACATATACATAATTATCTTAAATATATTCACTATAAAATATATATCTTTTTTGAATTTGTATATAAATAAGACAGAGAAGAAAAAGCATAAAAAAATTAGAGCGGGAAATTTATTTTGTTTTTTTTTGGATCATAGATGGTAAGTCGGTAAAATAAATAAACACGGCAGAAATAATTTTCAAAATAAAATACAAAAAACACTCAAAATATAAAAACAGACCCTCAGATTTGGCACGATTTAGGGAAAAATAAAAACTGAAATTCCCACGTCAGCAATCCAAGAGAGCCTCAACTCCCTACCCCTACCCTACGCTCGCTACCCTACCCAGCCCACCCCGACCAATCCCAGCAAAGACTGCCTCAACAAAGACTCTTCAGACACACCGTTTCTTGTCTTCGCAATTTGTACTAAAACCTTACTTCCTTCGTCTGCTCTTTTCTCTCTCTCTCTCTACGCATTTCTTTCTCTCTCTATATCTAATAAGCCAATACATACATCGATAGATACACACTAATAGCGCCCACCCACTACGTAATCTGGGATTCCCCTGATTTTTGATTCCTCCAATTCGATATTCAAATCCCTAATCTTGCAGCGTACCTCCGCCTATCCGACGCTCGAATCTCCTCGACCTATATCCCTTTCGTTTTCCATCCCCCCCAATTTGCGCCGTCCCCAATTTACTTCCTGATTTGGGTTTCCGTTGTAAAAACCCTAGCTCTTACTGATTCTACTTCTCTCAGCCCTACTCGAAGTCTTGGCTTCTAATTCGCAATCGTAGCGTATTTAGTTTCGGTGGGCTCGATTTGTTTGGGGGCTTTTGTATTTCTTCGTCAGGTTTGCTCTGATTTTGGGTTCTCTGACTTCTTGGGGGCGTCAAATGCTTTGTGTCAATTGTCTCGGTTTTAATTCCTTGCTTGATTGCCTGTTGATTAGCTTCTTTGCATTTGATTATGACTTTGGATGAATGTTGATTCACTAGAAATATAGAAGAGAACATGAAAAATTGGTCTTTGGATTTGCAAATTCATTTATTCTGTTTATACGATGTTGTGGGAACTAAGTTTCTTTAATTTATGGTGGAGCATAGTGTCTAGGGTTTGTGTGTTGATTTGGCAACGCTTTGAAGATGAACTCATGAGATGTGAATCATGAATTACGTAGTGTAAAGTTTACTGTTTTTCTTGTTGCAGTCAAGAGCAGAGTATATGGTTCATGTGGATAAGCTCTATAATTAATGTTACGGCTTTTATTGCCTGCCTGAGGATTTTTTTTTTTTTTTTTTTCATCTTTTTGACATTTGTTGTTTAATCAAGTGTTTCCGTTGCCCCGATGTGCTGATGGTCATTTTGAGTGTCTCATTATATACCTTGGAGCTAAGTTTTATAAATTTCTTGCTATTGGCTTTAATGCGGCACGAAAATTTATCCTTTTTTGAAGTATCCCTTAACACTCCAAAAAAAGCTTGGCAATGATTTTCGTGCTTACTGTTAAAAAAACATAAATAGAAGGTTCTAATTTTCAACTCATTACACGTTGCGACAAATTGGTCATTCTGTTATGTGATCACGTGTTCAATTTCATTAATTGTCTTGCTGATTGCTTCTTAACATATAATCTATTGGGTGCCCATATCATCTACGTGGACAGCATACATTTTATAGTTAAATTGGATGATCAACTTAGCGTAAAAAACTAAAAACAAAATCAGTTAGCATGAAATTCATCAAACATGCTTTTTTATAGTCATTGATAGTTCACGGCAATCTACTGCCACAAGCATGAAGTTTTTGATAATTAAGCTGCAGCATTTATTCAGTGGTTAAATTTTTTTCAGTAATTTCATCTTTTAATTGCCATGTGCCAATAATAGTTTCTTTCTTCTACCTGGTCTATTAGGTAGGTGAGAATTTTGCAATTTACTGGCTGGTGTATGCCAGTTCTCTGAGGAATTTTCTCTTGTAGAGTGGCCAGCATCTATCTTTGCTGCTTAATGCTGATGGCAGCATGCAGATGATTGTTGGAAGAAATGCAAAGGTATCATGCTGGCAGCTGCAATACTGCAGTTAATAGTAATGCAATTGGTGGGATACAGGGAAGGGAAACATCCCGTTCTGACTCATCCAGTGTGCCTCCTAACTTCTCAGTGAATTCAAGGTAGTGATTTGTGGTCTCATTATCTGCTGTTTCTTTTCACTTTTTTGTTGGAGGATTGACTTGCATGCACCTGAATTGCTATGTGGTATCCATTTTTTTTTATAGATAAAATAAGCTATTAATCACTGGAAGCTTTTCTGATTGCTACACACAGAATTCTAGTTGATACAGTTATGAAAATATCACTTATCGTTTCACATAGTACTTTTATGTGTCCTGAACTATTTTCTATATGGAATGTTATTATTCCTGGTGACTGGAAAATCATTTCTTTTTCTATATGCAAGCATGCATTTTATAGGTGTATTAATGGTACATCTCTTCTCCAAAACACACTGTTTTGTGTTCTTGAATATTGTGATTAGGATAAAATTGTATGTCATTGAAAAGTCTAAGTTTGCTACATTAACTCAGATATGCCAAATTTAAGTTGTGTGGCTTTCATATTTTACTAAACATTCTTTGGCTTTCACTCCTAAGTGGTGTGCTTATCTTGTTCTTTCAGACGGTCTTCGCAGCTAACACCGTATAAATTAAGGTGTGAGAAGGACCAGTTGAATCCCCGGTAATAGTCATATAACATTTATTGGTTTCCACTTTTATTCCATTTGCTTCCTTGGGAGTGAACTTTATTGCTCATGGGACAAGGTTCTTGTTATTTTCGCCTGCCATTCTTCTCATACTAACTACTGAGTCTGAGAGTCAACTTTGCACTCCATCTTTTTCATTCTTTGAAGCTTTCCTAGGCTTGTCACTAATATTTTTGGATGAATCCTTGTCCTTAATTAAGCTTTGCTCTATGATTGCAGGCTTGGACCACCCGACTTCCACCCACAGACTCCAACTTGTCCTGAAGAGACTCTCACCCGAGATTATGTGCAAACTGGTTATACAGAGACTGTTGAAGGGCTTGAGGTGGGCTAAATCATTTGTCAATATTTATGTTATACTGTTCTTATATATAAGATTTAGTACTTTCACTCACCATGTTGTTATTTGCTAAAACTGAACCAGGAAGCTCGAGAGCTTTTGTTATCACAGGTTCACTCTTTCAAGGAACCCATTGTTGTCAAATGCAAAGAGGTATGAGAGAGAACTGGGATGGATCTGTATTTCTTTTATATTTTATATTTGGACACACTCACATATGTTCTTTAGGTGTTAACATGTAAGACTTATTGTCAAATTAAAATCTTCTTTTGCAGGCAATCAGAAAATGCCACAGAGCTATCAATGAGTCTCGTGCCCAGAAGCGAAAGGTGCTGATTACTTGTCCTTCTCATCCTCTAAAGTAGAGTCATATATTATAGAGCACTTGAAAGCAACATTGAATTCTCGCAGTCTATATAAAAGTCATGTCTGTTTTTGGTTTTTAGATATGCTTTTGGTATGAGCAAGCATGATAAGTGAAATATGTGATTATGCAGGCTGGTCAAGTTTATGGATTGCCGCTTTCTGGTACACTGTTGACCAAGCCTGGTATTTTTCCAGAGCAAAGGCCATGTGGAGAGGACTTCCGTAAAAAATGGATTGAGGTTTGTCTTGTATCTTCAATTAAAATACTGCGAAGTTGTTGCTTGAAATGTTTAATTTGTGCCGTTTTACTTAAAAGTATCCTCATCTTCTGGTGCTTGAGTGTATTGGACCGCGCCGTAATCAGTCTAGAAACATTATTTTCAATGCTAATACAGATTTTGTTTTATAAACGTGATTGTTGATTTATATTTTGTTCTTCTCATTTCCTACTATTGATGATTATTAAAAATTGTGTTACACTTTACCTGGTGCTCATCAGTTATGCTTTATATTTGATGCTTATTTATTCCACTGTTATCTTGGATAAGTTGCAAATTTTTACTAGTTTCTTTTTGTTTCTCAGCTGTATTTTGTGTTGAAATATGTTGTAAATGCTGGCTGATGGAACTTTTGAGGAGAATTTATTAAAAGAGAAAATAAAGGACTTTTGAGTTTCTCAGGGCATAATTCTTGACAGTTGACAACACTTATTGAATGCTTTAAGTTCCAAACAGTGGATATGATCCATTGATTGCAATTGCTTATCATTGTATTCAATGACTGCTTGAACTGTTGCTTTACTCAAATTGTATGAAATCAATGGTAGCTGGCTTCAATTTTCCTGCTACCAGGCGTTTTGAGGAGTATATGTTGTTTTTAGGTGTAATATCATTGTAATAAAATTGAAAGTGTTGAAAGTTAATCAGGCTGCTAAGATACTCGGGAACTTTTCTCTCAGGGTTTATCACAACCTCATAAGAGACTGCGATCATTGGCTGAGCATGTACCCCATGGTTATCGAAGAAAATCTCTATTTGAGGTTCTAATTAGGAATAATGTGCCGTTGTTGAGAGCAACATGGTTCATTAAAGTAACATACCTTAATCAGGTAAGAATTTCTGGTTAAGAAAAGAAACAAACTGTTTCCAGAAATGCTTTGGCTGATATTAAATTGCCGTTGAATCTCACAGGTCCGTCCGTCTTCTAATTTTACTTCGGGTAGTCATGATAAACATCAAATTAGCCGTTCAGATCAATGGACAAAAGATGTTATTGACTACTTGCATTATCTGTTGGATGAGTTTGTTACAAGAAATAATTCTCATTCAACTCTGCACATGAGAGACCGGTCTGCACAAATGGTTTTTGTTGGTTCAGTGCAGCAAAAAGGTGATTCATTTCCCTCTGTCATTGATAGTGAGGAGCCTTCGCTGCACACTAAATGGTGGTATGTAGTGAGGCTTATTCATTGGCACCATTCTGAAGGATTGATAGTTCCTTCTCTTGTTATCGACTGGGTTCTTAATCAGCTTCAGGTATCACACCCTTTGGTTGATGTATTTCTTAAGTCATATTTTTTATCCATATTTCGTTGTAGTTCATGGTGCTTTACCACATGTTTCAAGAATCTTGTGTCATATACCATGCTGTTTTGGGTTTATCTAAAATGCACCTTTACTACGAAAATCTAAGATGAAAGCTACTTGCATTTGTCATTTATCATAAAATTATTAGATTTTTGTTTTTTCGAAGAATTAATACTATTTACTTATTATATAATTTAGCTCTGGCCTTTGGAACATTGAATCCTGTGCTATGAATCATTGATGAGTATGATTGTTTGCAATGAATGTGTTTGGGTTCTAACTTGTGAAATGATGCCACTTCAGGAAAAAGATGCTCTCAGTGTTCTGCAGTTACTGTTGCCCATTATATATGGTGTCATAGAAACTGTTGTTTCATGTCAGACTTATGTGCGCACTTTGGTGGGGATAGCTGTTAGGTTCATCCGAGAGCCTTCTCCTGGTGGTTCTGATCTTGTTGAAAATTCTCGCCGTGCTTACACCACTGCTGCTGTTGTTGAAATGCTCCGATATTTAATACTTGCTGTACCTGATACTTTTGTTGCCTTGGACTGTTTTCCTCTGCCTACATGTGTTACCACTCAAGTGGTGAATGATGGAAGCTTCATATCCAAAATGACCGAGGATGCTAGGAAGGTGAAACTTGGTCAGACTGACATTGCCGGTCCACTTAGGGATCGGAATCATGAAGTTCAAGTTGAGTCCTTGTCCTTCCAAAGTGCTGTTGCCTCCATCAAAAAACGTGCTGAAACGCTTGCAACAGCAGCGAGACCTAGTCATTCTGGTCAGAATGTAGCTAAAGCCTTGGAATTGTTGGACCAGGCTCTCATGCACGGAGATATTGGGGTTTCTTACAGCTTGCTCTTAGAAAATAGTTGGGAGGGGGTTTGTGCAGAACGGTGGAGTGCTGAAGTGAGCCCCTGTTTATACACATCTCTTAAGCATATCAGTGTAGCTACATCATCATTGCTTTGTTCCACCTTTTTCATTTGTGAGTGGGCAACTTGTGAGTTTAGGGATTTCCGTACTGCTCCTCCTCATGGTTTGAAGCTGACAGGTAGAAGAGATTACTCCCAGGTACTTATAGCAACTCGGCTTTTGAAACTAAAGATGAAGAACCTGCCCAACTTGTACAGCTCAAATAGGAAGATAAAAAATATTTCAGATGTTTTCAGCAGCCCAAGCCCCTTGCATGATATTATTGTGTGTTGGATTGATCAACATGAAGTGCATAATAGAGAAGGTTTCAAGCGATTGCAGCTTCTAATCAGGGAATTTATTCGCTATGGTATTTTCAATCCAATGGCATATGCCAGGCAGCTGATTGTAAGTGGAATCATGGATGGCAATGGGCCTATGGCTAACCTCGAGAAGTGGAATAGACATTACAAACTTTTGAAGCAGTTACCAGCTCCATATGTCCAAGATGCTTTGCAAGAAGCCCATACTGTTGAATCATCAACTCTTGTGGAGGCAATGGCTGTTTACTCAGATGAACGACGGTTGTTACTACATGGTCTATCAGGACACAGTAAATCCAGTTCTGGCACAAAAAGTGCTGCTAAGAAACGGAAGTATCATTTGAGGTCTGAAAGTGGAAGTGCTTCTTCGTCTGTTGATCAGTGGTATTTTCAGGCTATGCCCAATATATCAACAGTTGACGTTGATGCTGATATCAAGCTTGAAGATTTAAAATCATCAATCTCTGTTCTGTTACAACTTCCGCATTCTACACCTTTGATTGAAGCTGGAGTTGATGAATCCAAAGGGGGCATTAAGAGAACTGGAGGGGCTTACTATGGAAATGGTGGTCGTGAAGAAACATCAGAATGTGAAGAATGTAGAAGGATAAAAAAACAAAAATTAAGTGAAGAATGGAGCTCTGTAAATCAAGTAGATGATGATGAAATGTGGTGGGTAGGAAAAGGGTCAAAACCACATCCAAAGCCTACCAAACAGATGCCAAAGAGTAGGCAGAAACCTCCCCGTAAAACACAAAGTCTCGCACAATTAGCTGCTTCTCGAATCGAAGGTAGTCAAGGTGCATCCACAAGTCATGTATGTGAAAGTAGGGTAGGGTGTCTACATCAAAGAACTGATTCTGACGCCGCAAAACCTGTGGATGGGAAAAGCAATCCACCATCTCGGGATATTGTTTCGATTGGGAAGAATTTGAAGCAAATGCGGTCTGTAGAGAAGAGGATCTTGATTGTATGGTTGCTATCAGCTGTAAAACAGCTTATTGAAGAAGCTGAAAAGACTGCACCCAAGATTGGGCAGTATGGTAGGTCATATCCTGCTGCGGATGATCGAAGCTCCACAAAATGGAGACTTGGGGAAGATGAATTATCCGCAATTTTGTATATTATGGATGCTTGTAATGAGTTTGTATCAGCAACTAGGTTTCTTCTTTGGTTGTTACCCAAAATTCCTTGCAGTCCTAGCTCTGCCATCTCCAGCCGGAATATTATGATACTCCCCAGGACTTCCGAGAACAATCCCTGTGATGTTGGGGAGGCGTTTCTTTTATCATCGATGCGCAGGTCTATCTTCATTGGCTTCTGTTGTTTGCATCTGTTATGATTGTTTTCTTCCTATGTTCCTTGTTTTGTTTGGCTAATTTCCCTGTTTGCATTTTGTGCTTATTTTAAATGCATGTTGCACTGACCATAAGCTTGACCTTTCATTTCAAATCCAAGCTTGTTTTGATCATTTTACCTTCATCCAATTTGGAACACAATTAAACATAGTGCTAATGGAACTTATTTTTGTAGACTAGTGAAAATTGGTTGTTCAAAGAAGATTTTGGGTTCTTTATTTGAGATTTTCTTTTACAATATGTGGGCTTGAGATACTGGTATTTTTAGCTTTGCCTGATGGAGCATGTGTTCTCTTTCGTTCATTTGAACAATATTTATTTGGGTGATGCTTATATTGTTTAGAGCTCTGGAACTGTTTGCTGTCTGAGTATTTGTTGTCATCAAAACACAATCCAGATCTTTTGTGTCTCATCATTTACTGCCTTTCATGGATTGAAGGAATTTCCATTTTCATTTAAGATTGATATGCTCTATATTCTTACTTTATCTCATGTTTTATTTTTCCTCCATTCCAGTTATGAAAATGTAATTGTTGCAGCGGATCTTATCCCTGAGATGTTGTCCACCACGATGCACCGTGCTGCTACATTATTTGCTTCCAAAGGTAGGATCACTGGTTCACCGGCCTTGGTTTATTCACAGCGGCTTCGAAGGAAGTATAGCAATGTGTCCAGTGTTATTGAATGGGAAAGGACTTTCAAGTCCTCTTATGATAAGAGATTTACTACTGAAATGAACTCTGGGAGGTCTTTCGAAGGGGAATATGGATATACTCTTGGCAACACAAATGGAGGGGAAGATCTTGACGATAGTATCCGCCAAAAGCTAAATGGACCTCCAGCGTCTAGACTTAGGATGAACATGAAAGAAATAGTAAAGGTTAATGTCGATAAAGCTCTCCACTTTTACAGCAAAGAGAGGAAGCCTCTAGGAGCTGGAATAAATTCTAGCATGGACAAGCGAGATGACTGCTATGAGATAGCTCACCAAATAGTGGCAGGGTTGATGGATTGCATAAGACAAACTGGTGGAGCTGCTCAGGAAGGCGATCCATCGTTGGTATCATCTGCTATTTCCGCAATTATGTGTGGTGTTGTTAGAGTTCCCGAGTTGACTGGTAGCACTAATCATGCACATGGTCAGCAGTTAAATCATTCAAATGCCCCTCCGACTTCCGGGTTGCACTTCGCTTGGAGGATATTACATGTTCTGATCACTTGCCTCTCTATACTTAAAGACGCGCTTGGAGAGCGCCAAACCCGTGCTCTTGAAATCGCTCTCGCAAGGGAAGCTTCTGCTACTCTCATGCAAGCATATTCATCTGGAAAGGTATCTCGAGCTCAGTTTCAGATGTCTCCGGAGACCCATGATCTAAATCCAAATTTGCCGAATGAAAGCCTTAACCATTCTAAGAGTGTTCTTGGAAGTGCTGAGAAAATAACTGCTGCTGTATCTGCTTTTGTCGTTGGGGCAATTCTTCAGGGAGTCACTAGCCTGGACAGAATGGTCACCGTATTTAAATTAAAAGATGGGCTGGATCTAATTCAGTTTGCGAGGAGCATGAAATCGAATACGAATGGCAGTAGTGTGCGCTCGGGAGGGGTTTTGAAGGTGGATAGCTTGGTTGCTGTTTCAGCTAACTGGTTCAGGGTTCTTGTGGGGAATTGTCGAACGGTGGCTGATGGATTTCTTGTGGAGCTCTTGGGTGAAGCCTCGATTGCAACTCTATCTAGAATGCAACGAATGCTGTCTCTGAATTTGGTCTTTCCGCCAGCCTATTCTATGTTTGCGTTCTTGATATGGAAGCCCATTCTCGATGCCAGCTTTGGTTCACGTGACGAGTTTCATCAATGTTATCAGCTGTTAGCAAAAACCTTGAGCGATGCTGTAAAGCACGTTCCTTTCCGTGAGATATGTTTCCGGGACACTTATCGTCTGTACGATCTGATGGCTGCAGATAGCCTCGATGCTGAATTTGTATCCCTGCTGGAATCCGCCGGTTCAGACAATTACTTGAAAGCTGCTGCATTGGCTCCACTCCGTTCTCGGCTGTTTCTAGACGCACTTATAGATTGCAAACTACCAGTACCTGTAGGTAAACTAGACGGCGGGAATTGGATCTCTGGTCCCGGCGAGTTGATAAAACAATGCGATGAAAATGTGAAAAAGCTCATGAGTAAGCTCGTTCTTGTTCTGGATACTCTGCAGCCAGCAAAATTTCATTGGCAGTGGGTTGAGCTTCGGCTTCTGCTAAACGAGCAGGCTGTGAATGAGAAAATGGTGAACGACGTCTCCTTGAGCGACGCCATCAGGTCTCTATCTTCCCATCCTGATAAAAGTACTGCTTCGGACAACGAGAGCCACTTTGTTCAAATCATACTCACCCGTTTATTGGTCCGGCCAGACGCCGCCCCCTTATTTTCCGAAGCTGTACACCTATTGGGCAAGTCTCTTGAGGATTCAATGCTTTCGCAGGCGAAATGGTTGCTCAGCGGCGCAGAAGTTCTGTTTGGTAAGAAATCGATTCGGCAGAAGGTTATGAACATTGCTACCGAGCTCAAGGAGCTGTCATTGAAACCTCAATATTGGAAACCTTGGGGATGGTGTCACACCAACGATAGTTCGACGGCGCAAAGGAGAGAGAGATGGAAATCGGAATCTGGTGCCCTCGAAGAAGGAGAAGTTGCTGACGATGGGGGACGTGATTCTAGCCCGTTTGGGAAACGCTACGGCGTTGATTTTGAAGGTTTTATTTCTAGCCAGCAGCATTTGACCGAACGAGCTCTTATCGAACTTATTCTTCCTTGTCTGGATCAAAGTTCTGATGACCTGCGTAAGAATTTTGCTCACGAAATGATCAAGCAAATGACGAACATCGAGCAACAGATAAATGCCATAACCCGTGGCGTTTACAAACTTTCCGGAACTCCTAATTCTGCTATTGGAAGTCCCGCCAGTAAAGGCGGGACACGAAAGAGTGGAAAGAGTGGCAGTCCTGGGATATCCAGACAATCAACCGGATCTGCCGATGCTATTCCTCCATCTCCTGCAGCACTGCGAGCTTCCATGATTTTACGGTTGCAGATCCTACTACGGTTGCTCCCGATTATTTGTGCAGACAGGTACCTTATCTTCTGATTAATTACGTTTACGGCGAAATTTTACAAGTTGATCTATACTTAGCTTCAAAACTAGTTAAAGCTTGTGAAGATGATGTACCCATTGTTTTTGTGTTGCCTATTTTATATCGAACATACGTATATCCCGTTGCTTACCTTTTCAGGGAGCCTTCAGGCCGCAACATGCGGTACAATCTTGCATATGTCATTTTACGTCTACTAGGAAGCCGAGCTGTGCATGCTGATTCTTCTCACTCTGTTGCTACTGCACTGATTTCTTCCAAACGAGACACGGCGTCTCTCATCGAAACTTGTAGCGCAGCGGCGCTTATGTCCGGTGAAAGCCTCTTCGATTATTTATTGTTGGTTCTACACGCTCTCCTGAGCAGCCACCAGCCTAGCTGGTTGAAACCCAAGCCCGACGCCAAGTTGGCTGACTATGCCGTTATTTTCGACCGTGAAATGTCCGAAAGTCTGCAGGTCCGAACCTATCCCCATCCTCGTTCTTTACAGTTTTACGTTAATTTTTTAACCTTGATTTCTTACGGTGTGTTCCTGTCTGTGCAGAATGAATTGGATCGTATGGAATTACCCGACACAATTCGGTGGCGCATCCAAACTGCGATGCCGATTCTTACCCCATCATCTTTCGGTTTGATCTCTTGCGAGCCGCCATCTGTCCCCTCGACTGCCCTTGCCTGTCTTCAACCAAGTAACCTGGTGACGACACTCAATCCCACCAGTTCAAGCCTGTCGCAGAAAACTCCCGTCTTACCGGGGCGTTCGAAGTCGAAGCAGCAGCAGCAGCAGGATCTTGACCCGGAGATCAACCTGTGGACCCTTTTGGAAGACGGCGCCGGGTCCGGCCAGCCGTCGCCGAACTCCGCCGTCGTTGGCGGCAACGACCAAGTCAATCTAAAGGCATCGCCGTGGCTTAAGGGGGCTGTGCGGGTAAGAAGAGGCGATCTAACGTATGTCGGGGCAGTAGACGAGGACAGCTGATTCGACAGATCGACAGCGGTTTGCAATTGTTTGTTGGCCGGCTCCGATTCTATTCTTGCCTAATCGGAATCAGGTGGCTATCTTGGTTTGTTTGTTTCGTTTCTTTTGTGCCCGATTTCAGGCTCATTCTTTTATCCGACTGAAATTTCAGGTATTGGGTTTCCGATTTTAGGTCCATCCCTTCCGGCTCTGCTCGTCGCTTACTAACCTGTTTTGTGTTGGCGGTGGTTCTGAACCGAGCGATTTTTATAGTTTGTTGTTGTATATACGGGGAGGTATGGCATCGCATCTCTTCCCTTGTCTTCTCCTGCCGATCTGTCGTCGTGTAGAATTGTTGTCGCTGTCGTCGTCCAACTGTCGGAAACAGTTTGTAGTTTGCTCGGTTCTCTCAGGAATATTTTGTCAACATATCGATTTAAATTCGATCAGTCGCATTTTTTGTCGATGTTTGTTTCTCTGCTGGTTTTCGTTGGAAAGGTTAAGGTAAGGTGCACCAGTTGTTATTATTATTATTATTATTATTGTGACTTTTGTTAAAATAATTGTTGATGTAGATCGATTATTTAAGTTGATGCAATTTTAGAATTATGATATGAAGATTTTTATAATAAAAAGGTGTCGTTGTCTTTTCTAAGAAGTAGAGATGGTAGGTAGCTATAGCTAATAATAATATGGTTGAAAATGGGAATTGCCACTGCATTTTCGAAATCTTGTAGAGCCTGTATTGATCAGCTAGCCCTAGCTGCTGCCTCTTCAATTTATGTTCAGTCAAGAATAATTAACTTATATGGACTCTATTAATTAGAGCAATCATGCAATTTTATTTCCTTCTGCATTCTACACTTATTTTTATTACTCAATTTTTACTATACTTGAAAATTTTCAAATTAATTCTAAAATATATGTGAATATACAAATTTTCATGGTTTTGTCTAAAACAGGTACATCGACAAGATACAAAACATCACATTTTTATTTTTTATTTTTTTTTTATAGACAATGAGTTTTACTTTGGACAATGTCCGTTTGTTGGTTGTAAATTGAGATTCAAATTGGCTTTAACGCTTCAATATATATACATTTTTTTTTTTTTATCTAAATTATTACTATTATTATTATTATTATTATTATTATTATTATTTTCTGATTTTTCTTAAAGGACTATTTATAACCTTCTATTTATATACATTTAAATTTTTCTTATTTTGTTTTATAAAATTAAATTATGTATCAATAATATATATTATTTTATTCTTCAAAATAATATTTCTATTGAATGTTATAAATGTATAATTTTTAAAATATTAAAATAATTATTATAAATTTATTTTAATCAAATATATATTATATTATAGTTCAATTTACAATAAAAAATAATAGTATATTACTACTTTAAAACCGAACTCCTGACCACACCCTAAGGGGGCGTTTGGTACAGATAATGGAATTGCAGAGAAATGATAGTAGAGAATAGAATTGGAGAGAAATGGAATTGAGTAGAGAATGAGAATTAATTCTCTTGTTTGATAAAGCAGAGAATTGATTTGAGAAATCTAAAAAAAAATGCAGATATATGAATGAGCAAACAAAAATAAATGATTAACACGATAAAAAGAGAGTTTTAACGAATGAGAATTCATGAAAAATATTTTTGGTAAATTTTTTTTAAAAAAATTATAAATTATATACGATGTTTTTTAAGATTATATTTTAGTACAATTTCTTAAAATGTCGTAAAAATTAAATACTTTAAAAATAAATTAAGTTTGTTTTTTGTAAAATTAAAATAATATAATTTTTAAAAAATTATAAAAATTAAATAGTACAAAAAATTTTAAAAATTAAAAAATATATATACTGCAACATCATTTCTCTCCATTTCTCTGCATATGGGAGAGAAAATGAAAACAGAAAAATAAAAATGATTTATTTCTCAAGTTCCATTTCTCTTTGACTCAAACAAACAAGAGAAATGATACCATTTCCATTTCTCTGGCCTCATTTTTCTGTACCAAACACAACCTAAATGATCAGATCACTCAAGAATCCTCATCACATGTTGACTCTAAAACCAAGATTGATTTTGTTGCTATGTGTTGTATAACTAACCAAAGTAAGTTAATTTAAAGATAGAGAGAATAGCTCTTGAATGTAGCAATTTAATTTTTTTTTTTTTTTGAATGACGTGAGAACCGCAGTCGCTATAAAAAAATACGTATAGATAAACCTCCAGCCGAACCTAATATCTTGCAAATTAGGCCCGACAGACAATGTGTTGTTCGTAATTCTTTTGTATGAGACTATAATATATGCAATTCATGTGTTGTATTTGAATTATATTAACATATACAATGTACTGTTTGTACTAATATTTTGTGCAGTTGAGACTATAGCATGTATTTATATTATATTACCATATAATAATACTATGTACTGTCTAATAACACACAATGTGCTGAATCTCAGCACTCTAGCCACCGCCTTAAATAATATCTTACCTAAAACCAAAAACTAATAAGAAAATATATTATTACATATTTTTTTCCGTCCACCAAATTTAGGGACATTTCTTCTGTAAACTCACCAAAGATATGTCTCTAAATTTGGCCGACGAAGATAATACTATATAGTTTACCAACAAAAACAAGGTTCTATAAATTTGATAGACAATATGCATTTCGAATATAATCTATCTTCGCGCAATAAAGCGAAGAAGAACGACGAAATTCAGTTACTCAACAAGTGTTTGTCTTAAAAAAGCATTCGACAAAGATCCTTCCTTCCCACGCTCGCTGTACTGACTCGAACTACCCGACCGAATGTTTCACTTCCTACTTGGCATTTCTCGTGGTTTTGTCTACAAAAATTACGTCGTCGATCCAAGCTACAAAGTTGAACGCCAAACCTTCGAGTACCCGAGAGTAGCTCTCGAGCACTGCCTGTCCTACATCCTGCATTAAACATCCAAAAAAAAAAATAATATTAAATTATCATCTCACCTAAAAGCTTAAACACTTAAGAATATACAGACATCATTATATTTATTATCATATAGTCAACCAACTGACTCATTAAAATAACGCGTACTTTGTTGTAGTGAATTTTGCTGGTGTCTAACGTAGTCTGCGAAAGCTCGGGATATCTTTGCTTCAAGCAGAACAACAGCGTCGCTGCTCGATCCGCCAAGAGATGATTCTTGTCGCTCCTGTCGATATCCGACACGAGATCTTTCACGACGCCCCACGACGATTTTGAGTTCGCCATACACACTTTGCGGCGCCATGTGTACATCGCGGCCTCGATCTTGTCCGCAAGCTCGAGCGCTTCATGCTCCGAGCTTATGCTCAGAGTATCGAGCAGATAATCGGGCGAGAATTTTTCCGCGCCGTACATGTATCGATATATTGCGTCTCCTACGATCGCCTTTCCGCTCTGCTGCACACGAAGATTTAGAGTTACTTATCGACGCTTTTATTTTGCGACATTTCTTGTCGAGGATGGACGGCATACCTTAGGGAGGGACGACATGTAAGATTCCGGGATCTGCATTTCGGCGAGGATGCCGCTGTTTATGGCCATGGCCGCCTTGTGAATTTGGTTGGCGCAGTCGCGCTTTTGTCGTAAATGTTTCTTGCATTTCTCGGATAGCCCTTCGGGCGAGACGCAGGGGACCGGGAGCCACCATTTTTCTTCTTTTCTCTGTGGCTGCGGCGGCAATATTTTTCTGAAAGATCCCGACAGGGTCGAAGTCCCGGACATTGTCCCCTGCTCGACGTACCAGAATTCTGTAACGCCGAAGCTGTCTAATATTTCCTGAGATCGACCCGGACCCGGCACGGAAATGGGGTTAGTCTTAGGGTAGATTGATTGATGTAAGAATTGAAATGGTGTTCTTGATGATGAGTTCTTACAAGGAGCATGGCATCGAGCTTTCTGAGAGCTGGAAGATTGATGTAAATGTCTGATCTTGGCCTGCTTGTCATAACCTACATATTTGAAAATATGTATGATTTATTGTTATGCGATAGTGATGTTAGTGTTATATTGCAAAAAATATCCCACAGCTATATCCTGTAGTTATCTCGCTAGCAAAATATATCCCACATATTTGTATTTTTATTATTTGGCCGCGCGTGATCGCGTGTAAGGGCGCGTGTGTGAATGTCACGCGCAGAAAAAAGACATAAATAACGACTTTTGTAAACATGTGAGATATAAATACAGAACAAAAATAAAATGATAATAGGGTATAAGTATAAAATATTTTTTGCAATTTTCTCGTGAATCCATACCTCTAGAGTAGTTCCATCCTTTAAATTCTGGAGAGTCGGTCTGAATTCGAGGATATATTCACACACTGATAATAGACAGTTCATCTCTCTTTTCCACATCATTTTCTTCTCATCCTGCAATGGCTCTAATCTTTGATGTTGTCCGAATACAGACGCTACAACAACAACGTCGTCATCATCAATTCACATCTGATATATTTTCAATATTTTCTTTATACGAAAAATATCATGACCTCACAGTCACAAGTTCACTGGCATTGTTATTATTACCATAGAGGTTGGTTATGGCGTTGGAGATTGTGACGGCCGTCGAAACTCCTTTGCCGCTCCCGGACATGTCTTCGCCTAACAAAAGCTTCGAGAACCTCTCCTTCATCAGCTCCAACTCTGTTTCAAAGATCGATTTTAATTTTCGGAAACAAAACCATTAGCCAATTAATGCTGCAAGAGAACAACAGCGGACAGAGTATTCAGACAATGGAATTTATAAGTAGTCTGTCTGTCTGTCTCACCTAAATCCATGATTTCGTCGTCCAAGCCATGGCGGCGATGCTGGCGCATGCCGAGCCTCGAGAGTGCGACACGGGCCGGGGACTTGAGCCCCTGCCAGCTCATCGGGGAGGCCGGTTCGAGCTCAGACAGGGCGGACGAGGTCTCCGAATTTGTCCGGCAATAGGCAAATGATTCAGTGCTGATCCTTGATGAACTTTGATCCACAGAAGACGACAGTGATGGCTGATATCCTACCTCAGAATTCTCATCTGAATTTGCTGTGCTGCTGCTGATGCTGCTCTCCATTTGCTGTCTCTCTGCCTCACTTGATTATTACCTTGTCATGTCCTGATAACTCATCTATATATTTATTTCAACTTCCTGTCAAGAATGCATCTTTTTTTGTTACATAAATACATACATACATACATACATTCAAGAATGAGGTATATATATAAAAGAATTAGGGAATAAATTAAAGGGTGTCTGAAATTGAAATGTTTGAATGCACAATTGCCCGGGAAGATGTTGGATCAAGATTGGGGGAATGTAACAGCACAAGAATTTTTAGTTTTTAATTTTATTTTTTGAAAAAAAGTGAGTTTGGGAGTGTTCTTTTTCTTCAGAACAACAACAAAAAAAAAAAGAAAAAAAAAAGGCAAAGAACATTAGAAAACTGAGAAATGAAAGAAAAGCAAACGATGTATGTATGTATTGTATGTACTTTTTGATCAAGTGTTTGAATTTGAAGGCTTCCTTTTAGAGCATCTTCTGCTTCTGCTTCTGCTTCTTCCCCTTAACTCTTTTCTGGAATCTTGAATTTGAAGACATTCATCAATATAGGATGTGATCAAGAACCAAACGTTTTTTTAACCTCCTAATTATATATATATATATATATATATGTTGTGTATGTAAATTGGATATAATAAAATAAAATGCAAGAATAGAAGTGGGGTGGGGTGGGGTGGGGTGGGATGATGAAGAAGAAGATGGTGAAATAAAGGGTTCTTAGTTGGGAATTAATGGGAAATTATTATGGTGGTTGTCACTTAGCACATGTGACCATATAATTAATTTATTGGTTATTTTAATTAGCAAATGGGATAAAATAAAATAATGGGTGTGTTTACATACAATTTCTTTTTACACCATTCTCCGTTAATATTATTAAGATACAATATAAAAAGTATATACTCCTCCGGTGCCTGAAGTATAGTCTCGGTTGTGGTTTGCATGAGATTTAAGAAATATTTGATATTATATTAGTAGCGAGTAAAACAGATAAAAGACTTTTTTATTATATTAGTGTAAAAAATTAGTGACAATTGTGTAACAATAATGAAAGAGTAATAGGATAGTTTTACATTCATATTATTATTTATAAAAATGAGACTATTATTTTGAAACGAACAAAAATGGTCTATTGTATTTGAACCGAGAAAGTATATCTTATTTAGGTATCAAAAAATAATAATTTAACACCAAAGTTTTTATTTATTTATTTATTATTAATATATATATTTTTTATATCTAATATATAAAATACAAAATGAACATATTAACTCAATTTAAATATAAAATTTTTAAAATTTACTTTTTTAACATTATAGATATTAAGTCGATGTGATTTTTTTATGCGAAAAAATAAATATTTAAAAATAAATATATATTTTTAAAAAATATTACTATAAACAGTATCTAAAACTTAAAAAATGTATATAAATGGATCCCAAATTTATTATTCCATCCATTTTAGATAAATTCTTTTATCATTTTTATTTTGATCCGTCACATAATTTATTTTTTTAAAAATAATTATATATCTTAATTATATTCTAAATTTGTATACATTTTATATATTTTTAAATTTAAATTAAATCAATTAATTATCATAATATTAATTTATAATTATTTGTATTATAAATAATTATTTTTATTAATATAATTTTTAATTATTTACTAATTATAATATTTTTAAAATTTTGTATCTATAAAAAAAAATCGAACAAAAAAAGTGGAATAGAGATATTATAATGTTTTATTTCAAAATTGCAAAGCCGGCTGCATGTATGAATGCCAAAATTTTTAAACCAAATATTGTTGGCTAGTTTTACTTTTGGTATAATATTTTGTAATAGTATGATATAATTTTAATAACTTTTTTATTATCTTATTCTTTTCTTAATATATTTATAAATTATATCTAGATGGATAAAATAATAAAGAAAAAATTGTGTACAAATAAAGAACATAGTATAATTTGCTGTATAATAGTACTTCCTCCGTCATGCAAATGTGTGCTCATTTGATCAAGTACGAATTTTAATAAAAGTGAGAAATAATTGTTATTTTTTTTTCTTTTATAGTGTAAAAACAAGTACAAAAATATAATAATTTTTTACTTAAAAAAGAAACAAGAATATTTTCAATGACAACCCAGAAAGGAAAATTAGTATAGATTTGAATGACATAGGGAGTATATCTTATTTAAAAGTTATTCTTTTAGCATTCAATTTTAAAATTTTTTTGTTATACAATTCTTTTGTGATTGTCAATGAAAATATATTATTTTTTTATTATATAATTTGACATTAAAATATTATTTAAATCAAAATTCAAATAATAAAAATCGAAGGCAAATACTCCCTCTGTCCCGCCGGATGAATTATTATTTTTTTGTTCGTCCCTATAAAATATACCTCTTTTTATTTATAATAATTTTTTTCATTTTAAATATACTTAAAAAATATAATAAATTAAAATTTTAACTTCTTACACGTAGGAATCATTCATTTATTATTTTTATTTCTCATCAATAAATAAATATTTTTATTTATATTTAAAATTCTTTATTGTTTATAAAATTAAATTTTAAGTTAATTACAAATAAATAAATACATTATTTATTTGTATTATATAAAATTTTATTATCTACACAATGATATCCATATTGTATATATTTTATTGAGATATAATGTTAAAAATATTTAATATACCAATAATGTTACTTATATAAAAAATAATAAAATAATATTATAACTTATTATTAATACTCTATTAATTTATACTACTAAAACACATGTCCCTGACAAGAGGGTCATTTGACCCAGAACGAAGGCAGTACAAACTTGACCTTTTTTTTTGTTAAGATACAATACATTCATTCATTGGTTTGTAATATGTTATTTCTGTCCATTAAATTTATATATGATTTTTCTATTTATTCACGAAAAATCTACTTTTATTTATGAAAAATAATTTTTTACATGTTCTTTAATTTTTACTTATCAATATTAAATTTATCAATATTAAATTTATTGATAAAAATAATACAACCGTTTATATACTCAATTTATTAAAAACTTTCTCTCATCTCATTTAACTCACTTATATATATTGTAAAATATTTCATTGTATGCTACAATCAACTAATATAATACTATATTAACTAAAATTCATATAAAACTCTGATGTACATATAATTAGTAAATAGAAAAAGTCTGTTGAATAAGTTACTAAAATTATATAATTATTTGATATATATTTTATAATTTATAATTTTATTTATCATTTTTTAAAGTATGGCATTTCTTCCACAAGTTTAGATTGTTTTACTTTTCATATGAATATAGAAATTTAAATAGTTTTTTTTTTTTGGTTTTTTTTTTTAAAATTCACTGTGACCTTAGTTTTTTGTTTGAAACATTATTGTAAATTAAAAAAAAAACTATATATAAAATTGAGAATCGATAAATTTGTATCTAAATAAGAAAAAAAAGTTTTAACACATGTATATAAAGAAATATTTTGAATAAATGCAACATTTTAACATTTAATTATTGCTGTTATCTGAATCAATTTCTCAAATCATTATTCATCAATAATTCAATTGAACTTTTGCTTTACATTTTTGAATATATTTGCAAAAATACATTATAAATATTATATAAATTAATCAAACTAATTACTCATCTAATACTATATTTCTTACACTTCGTGTCCAAAAGAAATGAGACAATTTCATGGGACGGAGGAAGTACATAATATATTTAGTGGATATGTTAAGGATAATTTTAATATTTTATTTTGACTAAGTGGAAAATAAATCAATATTTTTTAAATATTAAAAATGCATTTTAATTATAATACAACATTAATACTTATGAGATAAAATTGATAAAAAAAAACAACTATTAAATTTAAAACGAAATAATATAATCGAGAAAAAAATTAAAACTAAGTAAATTAATATTGATTTTAAAATAAAAGAAAATTTCATTAACTTTATCTCTAATATAAAGTATATTAATCATATCCCGACAAAATTAACCATATTTGCTGAGATATATATAAATGTATTTAACGCAATATCTAATTTGGACCGAATATAACTATATACAATCAATCAACATAGAAGCATTAATCAAAAAACGGTTGTGTTGCAGTTACAACATGAACATGGATGCAAACACGGCGATGTTCACAATCTCATACGATTGTGTTTGTTAAAATCAATATGATTATTTGTAACAAGTATAAAATCACGATTGTATTATCACCAAATAGGGATATGTCTACCGAAACAATGTTGTGGTTAGTTGAAAAGGCCTATTCTTAGACCATATCCTACACATTTGGGAGGGTGATATTTACTTTTTGCACGTAGATTTTTGAATATTAGTATTATATTGTATTGTAGTAAAAAAAAAAAAACAAAAATACCTCTATTAATATAATATAATATAAAAATAATGATATTTGTACAATATATTGTAAGTTGAAATGATATTTATTATGTTAGGTAGGTAGTACAGTTACTAAATTAAGAAATGATAACCTTGTTTTGGGACGAACGAAAATAAAAATGTTAACCTTTCAATGAGACGAAGGGAGCATATCATTTCATACTCAAATACTCAAATTAAAAATAATAATTTTGATATCAATATATTGAATTATTTGTATATACCGAAATTATTTTAATATATACTGAAAATATCAAATTATATATTGTTACCGTACTTAAAAAAAAATCAATATAATATTAAATATACCAAAAATTTTAATATATTAAACCTTCTGTATTTTTTATAATAAAAATAATAAAAATTTTTAGTTCAAAAAATTTTTATATACCAAAATTTATATATATTTTTTTATTATATATTATTTGAAAATTATATAAATAATTAAGGGGTGAGATGGGGGAGGGGGGCTGAAGCCACCTTGCCGCCATGTAGTTATCCCATTGCTAGGCCTGACAAAAATTAATCCGATCTCGAATTGACCTAAAATAGTTGAGTTTGAGATGAGATTTTTGACTCAATTAATAATTGGGTCAAACCTGTTTAACCCATTTAATTAAATGGGTCAGGTTAAGGTCTACATTTTCGACATGAAAATAACTCGTCTAACCTGTTTAATTAACATTATTTTAAATTTAAATATATTTTTTAAATTTTATAAATACAATTCAATATTTATGGCCAATTTTATAAAAATAAACAATAAAAAATAAAGGATTGTGTTGTGTACTGTTATGTAGTGTTTGTTAATTCAATTCTTGAATATCGGTTTCATGATATGAATAAATAATTTTTTGCTTTAATATGTATATATACTAAGCATTTAAAAATTTTGTTAGTATAAATTGTAATTTTAAATTAAAATTTAAATATTTTAGATTTAAACGGGTTATATGAGTCAGATTCAGGTTGACCCGATTAATAAAAAGTCAGGTTATGGTTGCAAATATCAACCCATTTACTTAAATGGGTCAGATTCAAATCAAGGGTTTTATAACCCGTTTAAGTTGACCCGAACCTAAACTCGACCCGACCTAATCCGTTTGCCAGCCCTAGCCATTGCTG